TTGGGATTTTATAGCTACCTTTCTGTTGATTTCTGGTTTAATTCCGTTATGGTTGGAGAGAGCATACATTGTACAATATCTCTTTTAAATTTGTTAAGGCATGTTTTATCACCCAAAACGTGGTCTGTTTTGGTAAATATTCTATGTGAGCTTGAGAAGAATGTGTAATCTGAAGTAAGTCTATACATGTCAGTTACATCCAGTCAATTGAGGATGCTGTTTAGTTCAATTTTGTGCTTATTAATTTTCTGCTTGATGGATCTTTTCAGTTCTGATATAGAGTTGTTAAAATCTCCAGCTATTAAAGTGGATTCATCTGTTTTTCCTTGTAGTTCTCTCAGTTTTTACCTCACATATTTTGCTGCTCTCTTGTTAGGCACATACACATTAAGGATTGTTAAGTCCTTTTGGAGTTTTGACCCTGATAACTTCCCTTGCTCTAAAGTCTGCTTTTTCTGAAATTAATGTAGCTATTCCACTTACTTTTTCTTCAAAATTTAAATTTAAATACTAAACAAAATAGTGTAATATTGGTTTCAAGAGTAGAATGTAGTGATTCATCACTTATGTATAACACCCAGTGTTCATCATAACAACTGCCCTCCTTAATACACATCACCCGCCTCCCTCCATCAACCCTGAGTTTCTTTTCTGTTGTTAAGTGTCTCTTATGGTTTGCCTCCTCCTCTCTCTCTCCCTCCCTCCCTCCCTCCCCCTCTCTCTCTCTCTCTCTCTCTTTTCCTTCCCACATGTTCATCTGTTTTGTTTCCTAAGTTCCAAATATGAGTGAAATCATATCTGGGTCTGAGGTTTGGTATCTGACCGTATGGGGACATTCTTGTCATTACTGTTTCAAATACTGCTTTCATTTCCTCCTTCTTCTTGTAGTGTTATACCCTTTATAGTTATCTCACAGTTCTTAGATATCCTGTTTTATTTTTAACAGTCTTTTTTTTTTTGTTCTTCAGCTTTGGAAGAACTGTGTTCAGAGACATTTTTTTTTTCTTTTTAATTGTTTATTTGAGAGAGTGAGAACATGTTTGGGGTGGCAGGGGTCGGGGGGACAGAAGGAGAGCATCCTCAAGCAGATTCGCCTAAGTGCAGAGTCCAGTGTGGGGCTCAGTCTCATGACCCATAGATTATGACCTGAGCCAAAACCAAGAGTCGGATGCTCAGCCAACTGAGCCACCCAAGTGCCCATCAGAAACGTTCCTTTTTCTGTTAACAGTATTTCTGATGTCTAAATTTTTTTTCTCTTTCTAAGAATATCTACCTCTGTGCTTACATTATCCATCTATTCTTATCTGTTGTTTATCTTAGCATTAATGTCCTGTATTAATCATAGTTTTAAAAAAAATCTCTGGTCTGATAATTCCAGCATTCCTATCATATATGACTCTGGTTCTCATGCCTGTTCAATCTCTGCAGACTGTGATTTTGCCTTTTAGTATATTTTGTAGTTTTTTGTTGAAAGTTAGATCTGATGTACTAGGTCAAATGAAATGTGATAAATATGCCTTTAGTAATAAAATGGTAAGGTGTAGTGGGAGAAGTCCTCTGTAGTCATGTGATCAAGTCTTATTCTTTTAGTGAGTCTGTGCTCCTGGACTGTGAACTTCCCACCCTATCATGGGGCAGGATGGTTCAAGGCAACTGGAATTTAGTGTTTTCTTCTAGGTAGGTTAGCTCCCTTCTAGGAAACCTTCTGAGTAGGTTAGTCTCTAGTTAAATAGTTTATCCCGAAGACAGGTCTTGTTAAGAAGAACATAGTATTCTGATGTATTTCAGAATGGTTCCTTTTCTCCTTTTCCTGCTGGAAACATGAAGAGATTTTCCCCTGATGTTCACTGTGAGGACATGATAGAGCTCATGGAGATAAAACTCAGACAAGTCAGGTGTCCCCTGTGAGTTTTTGTGGGTCTCCCTGGAGTTTTTGACTTTCAGACTTGTCTACTCTGAGCCTCCAATAGTTCCATCAATTTCAGTTCTTTTTTTCCTACTTCAGCATTGGTTGCAAGGAAGATTATGTTCTGGTAAGTGTGACTTTCTCTATTCACTTGTTTCTCCAATTCTGGGGGTAGCAGTTTATTCTGTGACCTTATTTCTGTCAGATCTAAGAAGAGTTACTGTTTTTTCAGTTTTTTTTTCTTTTTTTTTTTTTTTTTTTTTTTTTTTTTACCTTGTAAGTAAAACAGATGGAGGGGAAATTTCTGAGCTCATTACATGCCAAATTAGAAACTATAAGTCCATTTTTTTTTTTTTAGTTTCTTAGCCTAGCCTACCCATCTTTCTGAGTTCTAGGCCCACCTTTCTGTCTAATGTTCATCTCTATTTGTATGTTCAACTGGCATCTTAATATCAATGGGTTCTAATTGTAATTAAGTACATCTACGTAGACCTGTTCTATATGACCTCCTTATTTCAGCTCAGAATATGATTTTCCCTGTTAATTGACTCAAAATATCAAACCATGGTTATCTAACATTTCCTGTCTATTCACTTCTTTAAAAAAAAAGTTTTTGCTAAATCCTCTCAATTCTACATCTAGACTTTCTTCATTCTGTTTTCTGTGCTCTTGTTCAGCTCCTCATTTTGTTCAACTAGGTTAGAATAATTTTTTTTAAGATTTATTTTAGAGGGAGAGAGCACACATGTGTGCCACTGTTGGGAAGGAGTAGAGGGAGAGAATCTTCAAGCAGATTCTTCGCTGAGCGTGGAGCCTGACATGGGGCTTGATCTTAAAACCCATGCGATCATGAGCTGAGCTAAAAGCAAAAGCCAGGTGCTTAACTGATAATGAGCCACCCAGGAGACCCTAGAATAATTTCATAAAGTGAATTCATATCCATTCTCAATATCTTCTAATTCCTGCTGTCCACTGCATCCAGTTGTTGTAGCACTTGCTTGTCCTCTTTACTCTTCTCTTTCCCTTCAATCAGATGTTACTGAGAATCTACACATAACGCTAAATGCCAGGGAATACAGAAGTTTACAAAACACAGTTTACAATCTTCTTAAATCATGCTACTTTGTTGTTATAAAACCATCACAAGATTTCCCATTTCCTATGAATTAAAATTTAATTCTGAACCTTGTGATTCTATAGTATGGCCCCACTTGGATTTTTAAATTTTTCCTTCTATCCATCCCCCCTCTTTTATCCATACTTTAAAGATATGGGTACTCTGAATATATTCCATTTCTACCTTTTTAAAATGTTCTTTCTGGAATACTTTTCTACCTTTCTCCATTCCTACCAGAATCCTCCTCATTTTCAAAGTCTATCTCAAAAGACACCTCCCCCGTAAAGCCTTTTTCCTCATTCTTCTAGTGCTGTCTTCATTTATCTTCCAACCTCCCTATACTTTGTACTTAAGATGACTTTTCTTAGGTGCCTGGGTGGCTCAGTCAGTTAAGCATCGTCCTTTGGCTCAGGTCATGAACCCAGGTTTCTGGGATTGAGTTCCGCATCGGGCTTGGTGGGGAGTTTGCTTCTCTCTCTTCCTCTGCCATTTCCCCCTACTCAGTCTCTCTCTCTCTAATAAATACAATCTTTAAAAAAAAAAAAAAAAAAAAAGATGACTTTTCTTTGGCTACTGTATTATATGGTGTCCTGTATATAATTATCTGAGGATTTCTCTTACGCTTCTGATAAAATTTGAGTTTTTAAAGGATAGTGCTAGAGTCTGTCATCTTTGAAATACCCAGCACATGATAAAATGCTATTTATGTAATTTTTGAATTGTAGCTTCACCTTTTGGTGAAGTATGAGTTCTTCAAGGTCTAGTTCAAATTCATTTGTATAAAACTTCCCTTAGCTACCATATAGTACAACTATCTTAGCACTTACACAGTTTTCATTGTCTTTTTTTGTGTGATACTTCACTAAACTGGTGGGGACTTGACTTTATCAACTGTTGAATCCCAGTACACAATTCCTAACATGTGCTTAGTAATAAGTAGAAAAATGAGAATACTTAGAATAAGTATAAAAATAATGTTTCTTTACTTTCACATTACTTCATTGGTATCTCTTTTGGCACTTACCACATTCTAATTTACTTGAGGAATTATTTATATTTTCTGACTGCCTTCTCCTAGTTGTAATGCTGCAAGGGAAATGGGAAAGATCTCATCTGAAGTCCTTACAAAGCCTCACTCATGGAAACAAGGATACATTTGTTCAATCAGCAATTATTTTTTTGAGCTCTTATTTTATGCTAGTGATTATTCTAGGAAATAGGGATCTAAGAGCAACTAAGGTGGGCAAAAATTTCTGCTTTCATGGACCTTACTTTCTAGTTAGGGGAAACACTCTATTAATACTTACCAAGTTTATGGGGCGTCTGGGTGGCTCAGTGGATTAAAACCTCTGCCTTTGGCTCGGGTTGTGATCCCAGGGTCCTGGGATCGAGCCCTGCATCAGGCTCTCTGCGCAGCAGGGAGTCTGTATTCCTTCCTCTCTCTCTGCTGGCCTCTCTACCTACCTGTGATCTCTGTCTATCAAGTAAATAAATAAAATCTTTAAAAAAAGAAAAAATACTTACCAAGTTTAATATTAGCTGGAAATGATCACCTGTGAAGAATTTTTTCTTTAGTTTTTATTTCCCTGGAACTTTCACTTCTATTTCATGTACTACTGTGTCTCTAATTATACTTTATAACCAAAAATATTGCCTTTTATTAAGCTTCTGTTTATGTGATAGGAACTTTATATATTTTACCTCTGTTTCTCAAAAAACAAAAACAAAAAACACTGCAAGGTAAGCTTTATTATTTCTGTTTTATAGATAGGAAGACTGAGGCTTGGCACTGGTAAGCAAATCAACTTGATTTAATCATGGCATATAACTAGGAAATAGAGGAGCTGGGATTCATGCCAAGGTCTGTCTGTTGCTAAAGCCTAGATATACTCTCTGTACTCTGCCTTATTTCCAATTTCTTCCCATTTTTTCAAGACAAGTAAACATTTATCTTTTTTTTTTCCTCTTTCCTGATAGCCACAATATGAGAACAGTTCACTCCAGACTCCATTTTCTGACCAGTCAGTGTCCCATTCCCAGCAAGAGGAACTTGAGCAAAAGCTTGCATCTACTGAGAAGGAGGTTTTGCAGCTCAATCAGTTTCTCAAACAAAGAATAAGCCAATTTAGTGAGGAGAAGAAGAAACTGGAGGAAAAGGTAGGTATTTTTAATAAGTTGAATTAGGTCAATAACAGCCCTTCAACATATAATTATTCGTCATCTGCTGTATTTCAGGTGTGTATTATAGTAGGTTGTACATTTATATTGAAATGATTAGTTTTGCAGTAACTTTTGAGAAAACCTGTGCTGTTCACAAAAATCTAGGGATTTTCTTGAGGGATTAAAAATATCACAGTACAATGGAATACTATGCAGCCATCAAAAGAAATGAAATCCTGCCATTTGCGATGTCGTGGATGGAACTAGAGGGTATTACGCTTAGTGAAATAAGTCAATCGGAGAAAGACAACTATCATATGATCTCCCTGATATGAGGAAGTGGATATGAAATGTGGAGGGGTTTGGGGGGTAGAAAAAGAATAAATGAAACAAGATGTGATCGGGAGGGAGACAAACCATAAGGGACTCTTAATCTCACAAAACAAACTGAGGGTTGCTGGGGGGAGGGGGGTTGGGAGAGGGTGATGGGATTATGGACATTGGGGAGTATATGTGTGCTATGGTGAGTGCTGTGAAGTGTGAATACCTGGCGGTTCACAGACCTGTACCCCTGGCGCTAATAATACAATAATACAAATATATATACATTTATACATTATAAAAAAATAAAAAATTTAAAAAAAAATTACCACAGTAGATCTTGCTAATGAATAGTGAAACCTTTCTTGAATTAGTTGCCTAAACTGAGATGTGACACAAATAACTATTTTTCTTTTCTTTTGGGGTTCAGTTTCTTTGTCATGTTGGGTATAAAGGATTGATATAAATAAAGATGGTACTTTTTTTTTTATAAGCACATGACTTCATGTTATTTAAGCTGCAGCCCCTGATTCTGAACAAGTGGTGAAAAGCCAAATATCTATATGTACTTAATATAACTGTATATTTATTTGACCTTTCTGCCTTTATTAAAGTATTTATATACTTCATCTCATTCCATTATAGTATCATTAAAGATCAAGTAGATTATCTACTAGCCCTAATTTACTAAAGAAGCATAGATCCTTAAGCTGCTAACTTAGTTGCAGAACTGGTTTTAGATTTCTCTCTTGATATACCCAGCTTATTATTCTATTAACCGAACCTTCCATTCAAGTGATCTTGAAAAGGTTACCGTGATTTCTGCAGGCACGTTTGGAACTATTAATAGAGAACTCAATTAACATTTTTGTGTGAGTGAGTGAGTGAGTGTGTGTGTGTGTGTGTGTACACATATATATATATATATATACACATATGTGTGTGTGTGAATTAAAATTTTGATCTTCCAAAAACTGACAAATATTTTACATGATTTCTCTTTCTCAGCTATATGGTATATTTTATCTTGGCTAACTTAAAAGTAACTTAAGTACCTGTTTCTTGTTTCTTTTCTATATTTTGGGGGCTTCGTACAATACCATAATCTGGAGGGAGCTGAGGAAATATTGGTTATATAGATATAGGAGGGATTAAAATATTTTCTGACCTCTGATATTTGTTAGTTAAAAGATTATGTGAAAATTAATGATGTTTCAGGGGTGCTTGGCTGGCTCAGTCAGTAGAGCATGCAACTCTTGATCTCAGGGTCTTAAGTTCAAGCTGTACATTGATGTGGAGCCTTCTTTTAAGAAAAAAAAAAAAAGAAGAAAATTGTGACAATTCAGTGGATACAATTTTTAAAATATATTTTTATGTTTTATCTAAAGTCTTCTCATCTTTTATTACTTTTGGTGTCCAGTGCTTAATAAAATCAGTTTATATACTCACTGCATATTTGACAGTTTCTACTTGGATATCTTAAGAATATTTAAACTGTTCATCCAAAGCATAATTCTTAATTTGCCTTCTGAGTGCTCTCTTCTTAAAACAAAACAAGATTTCTTCATTGTTCATTACTCCAAATTCAGTTATTCATGCTGGAAATTTTACTAACACTGATTAAGCCTGTCTCCTAAATATGTAATAGAATCCAGACTGGTCTGAGTTATCATATCTTGGAAAAGCTTTTGTCGTCTCTGAATCCAATCTTGCCCTGCCTGTCTGCTTTTCCTCTATCTCCATCACCTTTTTTTTTGTTGTTGTTGTTGTTGCAATTTCATGTATTTTTTTATTACATTTTGAATAATCGAAGCCTAATTTATATATAGTCAAATGTATAGATCTTAGGTGTTCTGTTTTGTTTTACTAATAGTCTATAGCAATATAACTGCTTTCTAAAATAAGACACAAAGCATCTCAATCATCTGGGGTGCCTGGCTGGCTCATTAGGTAGAACAGGTTACTCTTAATCTCAGGGTCATGAGTTTGAGCCCCATGTTGGGCATAGAGTTTACTTAAAAAAACAAACACTTCAGTCACCCAAGAAGTTGCCTTGTACTTTCTAGTCCAGTCTCCTTCCTCTTTCTGAAACACTGTTATCACCATAGATTAGTTTTGAGTCTTCTTGGACTTCCTATAAATGAAGTCCTACTGTATATATTCTTTTGTGTTTGTCTTCTTTCACTTAATATCTTTGAGATTTATTCACATTGTTGAATGTATTCCTATCTACTACTGAGTTTCATTCCCATTATATAGATCACAATGTATCTGCTCTCCTATTAATGGATATTTGGATTGTTTGCATTTTGGGGAAATTATGAATAAGGTTGCTGTGAACATTCTTAAACCAGACAGTTTTTCGTTTCTGCTGAATAAATTCCTAAATGTGGAATTTCTGAGTCCTACATTTCATATGTAAATAAGTAAATATAAGTAGATATTTAACTTAAAAGAAACTATGTGAATTCTGCACACTTAATGACCTTTCTGAGTTGGCTATGTGGGTTGGGGCATCCTGAGCCAGTTGTCCTGTGCTGAGATGCTTCCAAGCCTTACTAAAAACACTTAGATCTCTATGAAGCCCAACTATACCCAAGTGCACCAAAAGATCTGGGTAGGAGTGAGGTTGATGGGCTTCATCATTAATAAAATCAGGAGTGTTGATAAAAGTAGTAAAACTTTGAAATCTTCAACTCCTGCACCTGCTTATGGTCAATAACCAGCTCTACGAGGAGTACACATCAGATGGAACGTCACCCTGGCTATAAATTTCAGTCAGCTCTGTTAGATGGGAATGTGGTACATCACAGTACACTTGGTGGAAGTGCTGTTTCCTTTGTGGTATAACTAAATGTACCTGTGAGATGCAAGAAAGAAAAGGAAGAAAGAAAAAGAAAGAAACCTGAGTTCTCCTAGTGTTTGTATCCTCTAACACTTCCAATATCAGTGTATGAGAGTTCCAGTTATTCCACAGCCTCCTGGCCATTCTTCATAGTGTGGAGGACTGAACTTTGTAAAAGGAAGACCCAGTCATTTCACTTACATTACCCAGCATGCCATCTGGGTGTTATCTTTAAAAATGAGAATCAAATTCTTCCCATAGCCAAAAAGACCCAGCCTAATTATATAACCCTAGGCTCTGTCAGTCTCCCCTTAGTGCACTGAGTCACAGTGTGGTGCTTGTAGCTGCTCAGACAGGTCATGATTTGTTTCTGGTCTCAAGAGTCTTGACACAGAGTTTCCTCTTTGCCTGGTAAATACTTGTCTTCTCCCACTACTCAGTCACCTGTTTATTTTGTCAAGTCTCATCTTAAATATCTTTCTCCTCCAACTCCTCCTTTCCTATGTTTAGAGCATTTCTTGTTTGTTTTTTCAGTGCTTACCACGATTTCGAATAATCATTATGTTTTAGTTTTTCTTTGTAAGCTCCAGTATGGCAGGGGTGTATCGCTTTGTCACTGTAGCATATGTAGCACCGGCCACGGTGCCTGGCATATGGAATGAATGAATGGATAGATGGATGGATGGATGGATGCTTTCAAGTGATTTTTGCCAAGAGGGAAGAAAAGAGTGAGATAAGCCCAGCAAAGGACTATGAAAGAATAAGTAGAAATAATCAAAGATGTCAGAGGAGTGCATGATAGAGCAAATTCCTGAGATAAATAGGGAAGGGTTGATTACAGATGCCAAGATGGAGGAATTAGTTTTGGAAAAGGGGAATAGTCTCTCTGTGGAGTGAGGCAGTTGAGAATGGAAATGTGTAGAACAGAAAAATTAAGAAGGAAGTGTAGTTGGTTTAGTTGGTTGAGTTTGTGTCAGAGGCCATGGAGATGATTTGAATTCTTGAAGGGAGTATAGATGCTAGTAAATAGACTCATGGGTAATGCATCAGCTGACCAGCATGTTAGACTCACAAGAGGTTGGATTGCATTGTTTCCTTCTGCATTTCCTTTCTGTTATCCTGATCAAGACTGATACTACAACAGGAAAACATTTAATGTGATAACAGCAACAATGGAAGTTACTCTTTGATAAATTCTTTCTTGCATATACCAGACAGCATGTTAAGGTATATTCAGTACATTTTCTCATTTAATATTAACTAATCTTCACAAAAACCGTAAGGCATAAATACTGTACCCCCACTTTTAAAAATGAGCTAATTGAAGCTTGGAGAAGAGTTGAGTAATTTGTTCAGTTGCATGTAAGTAGAAACTGTTGAAAAGCTAGGAGTAAAATTCAAGACAGTTTTTTTTTTTTTTTTAAGACAGTTTAACTCTACAGCCAATGCTTTTTGCTTCTAATAATAATAATTTACTCAAAACAAAACTTGGAGAAAAACATTTCCTCAGTAATCTGTTTTGTTCTAATTATTGTATTTAAGATGAAGAAAAATATATTCATTTGTAAACCATTTCTGAAAACAGAGCCGTCCTATTACCTTCTAGGAATAATCTCAGTACTAAATGGTATCTCTTTGAAAGGAAAAAAACCTAACCTTTTATAAATAGAAAAGGGAAGATTTATTAGTGATGCCTCATTTGCCTAGAGGTAATTACTGGAGTTGATTTTAGTAATCAACATATAAAACTTGAAAGTTAAACACACACACACACACACACACACACACACACACACACAGAGCTTTTCATCTGCAAAGGACTTAAAAAAAAAAAAAAAAACAACAAAAAACAAGACCAGTGATCATGTTTAATCAACTTGTAGTCAGCAAGTAGCATAAATAGTATCCAGTAGGAGGCTATTGGCAGAGATTAGTGATCAAAGGCAGCAAGCCTGACCTGACAGCAGAAAAGACAGTTGACCAGCCACAGATAAAGAAGAAAACAAGGACATCTTTGAGTAATAGAAGACATCATGACCAACCTATTCCATTGGCTGCTTTTTGAGGACATCATTTTATCACATTTAAGACACTTAAAGAAATAAAAATAAATTAGGGAGCCTTTAGTAAAAATAGGCTGGTTAGTTATTTCTGTAACTTATAGGGTCATTTGCTAAGGCAGGAGCAGGCTTTGTCAATGGGGAATCCAGGCACAGGTGGCTGCTAGAGTATAGAAATCAGGTTATGTGCAGTGTGGAGGAATTGAAAGAATGTTGACCTTTCAGTCAGATGATTTATATCTAAATGTTACCTCTGTCTCAGTGACTTGTGGTTAAGTTACTAATGATTTCTGGACCTCATAATCAAAAAAGGAATTACATATCTTTTTTGGAAAAAGTCTTTTCACGTCCTCTGCTTAGTTTGTAATCATACTATTTGTTTTTTGATGTTGAGTTGTATAAGTTCTTTGTGTATTTGGATATTAACTCCTTATTGGGTGTAGCATTTACAACAGACATATGAAAAAATGCTAAATATCACTAATCATCAGGGAAATTCAAATCAAAACCACAATGAGATATCACCCTACGCCTGTCAGAATAGTTAAAATACAAAATGTAAGAAACAACAAGTGATGGTGAGGAACACTTGTGCACTATTGGTAAGAAGGCAAATTGGTGCAGCCACTGTGGAAAACATTATGAAGCCTCCTTAAAATACTAAAAATGGAATTACCAGACGATCCAGTAATTCCACTACTGGGTATTTACCCAAAGAAAATGAAAACACTAATTCAAAAAGGTATATGCACTCCTGTGTTTACTGTAGCATTATTTACAATAGCCAAGATACGGAAGCAGCCCAAGTGTTTATTGATAAATGAATGGATAAAGAAGATGTGGTGTATATAAGTGCCACCGAATATTACTCAAATGTAAAAAAGAATGAGATCTTGCTGTTTCAATAACACAGATGAACATGGAGATTATAATGCTAAGTGAAATAAGTCAGAGAAACAAATCCCAGATGATTTCACTTATATGTAGAATTTAAGAAACAAAACAAATGAACAAAAAAGAAAAAAGAAAGAAACCAAAAAAACAGACTCTGAGATACAGAGACCAAACTAGTGGTTACCACAGAGGCTGGGGGGTGAGGGGCAGTGGTAAAATAGATAAAGGGGATCGAGAGTACACTTATTTTCATGAGCATTGAGTAATGTATACAATGTTTTAATTATTATACTGTACACCTGAAACCAAGATAACACTGTATGTTAATTATACTTCAGTGAAAAGAGAGAGAAAAAGGGAATTGTATTATGTGGTCTTTCAGGTCATTATAATGGTCAGGAGTCTGTGAGTTCCATTAGATCACAAATTGTCACACCAGCACACTGGCCTTTAATCCTGAGAAATCCCCAATAAATAATGGGATTTGTCAGTTTTACCAGGGTTGCTCCTTACCCAAGGTAATAACTGGATTCTAATGTTATTGATGGAATGAATAGATAAAAGGAGATGTGGTTTATTTTTCTAAATGAAGTTTTAATAAAAGTTGTTATAGTGGACTTGAAAGAAATTAGATAAGGCGTGAAAGAAACTAGATTGTGCAAAGTGTTAGCTTTAATAAAATTTGGGAGAGCAAGCCATTATACTGCCAATTACTGGCACTTATTTCCCTGCTGTATGTGGGAAAAGGCTGTAAAAATATTTTAGAACCCTGTAAGTTTCTAGATTTTAGAAGACTGATAAGTTAAGGTGAATAAGAGTCTGAAGTTTACTTTTTAGGTAGCTATTTGTGTACACATATTATTTATATTTGAGCTGAAATATTAAAGAACTTTGAATATGATATGAAATTTAAAGATAGTATTTTTCAAGTGGAAAGGTGAAAAAAAATAGTACATAGGTCTGAGGTTCAGCCTAGAGAAATTGGGATTTATTAGAATCATATACTGTGTGTATTCAATTAGGTGTTCAATTAACATATTCCATCAATCCTAAAATGACATCGTTGGTACAGCACACCTTTATTATATGTAATATTGAGTAAGAAAATATGTTGCATGTTCAGTTTTGACGTAATACCTTACCAGTAGTCTTAGCTTGAAGTATGCATTTGTCTCACTAGTGCCCTTATTTCTTCCCAAGTATCTGGTAATTTTGGTAAGTTCTCTTGGCTTTGATTGCATTTCTTGAGTACACGATAAGCAATTTCTTAGCAAATCAGTAACAAAACAGCTTTAGTAACTTGTAGGTATCTTCCTTTCTTAAGTCACATAAAATATTTGGATACAGCTTTGTAAGAAGTAAGTAATTGGAATCCTCTCTCCAGAGATGAGTATTTACTTCACTGATTTTAAAATTAAACCGTGTGGCTCTGTTTCTTTGTTTTTCTGGATACTCAGTAACTGTTTACAACACCAAATTATAATGTAACATTTTTAAGGTAATTTAAACATCATTTAAACTCAGCACATAGTTGCAACATGTACATACTGTTGAAATGACAGAGGTGGGAGTAGCTTTGACCAAGTTTGCACATGTGCTGGCAGTAAAAACTCTATCATCATTTCTAGCCAGCCCACGGCAGTTTTATAAGATGCCATCAGTTGTAAAAGCAGACAAACACAAAACTCTTGATTTCAGTGATAGGAAAATTTGTAAAAATGTGAATCTTAGAATTGATGAATTAAAGTGAATCTTACTTGAGTTGGTGGTAGCCTTAACTATAACCTAGAACTATTGGTTTAGTTATTATTTTTTTAATACCACAAAGCCCCTGAAGATTCAATATCTTTTTCTTTAGCTTAAAACCAGAGATAGATATATCAGTAGCCTGAAAAAGAAATGCCAGAAGGAATCCGAACAAAACAAAGAAAAGCAGAGAAGAATTGAGACCTTGGAAAAGTATCTGGCTGATCTTCCAACTCTAGATGATGTACAGAGCCAGAGTCTACAGGTAACATGAACTAAAATGCTCATTTTTAAATAACATGAAAGCCTACTACTTTCTTAAATTGACCCTTTGGAAATTTCATAATTTTTTTATAATTTAAAATTTTAGTTCTATATTTGGCTAATTGTGTTAAATCTAAGTGTTTAATTGCTGTTTTGAGGATTAAACTTTAATTAGAAACTTTAAGCATGAGTTTATCTTTCTTATTAATTAACATATGATTACCTTCCTAAGAAACCTGTGTGTTAACTTTTTACTTAACATTGTACTCTAAAAGGCAGTTTCTAAACCAGTCTGACAGCCCCATTCCAAACACACAGGGATTCACCACAGTTCTGACTTTACCCAGTATTCTCTATGATTCTCCAAGGCTCAACAAGACTTTTTTACTATCTTTCCAGATATTTGATTTGTTTTCTTCATTCTTCTTAACCTTTCAATAAATTCTTAAACTTTAGTCTGTGGTCTCCACTCCTCTGACCTCTTCTGGCCATTTTTCTTTCTTAACAAAACCTCACCTGAGTCTTTCTACAACTCTGGTCAACCCAGTCTTCTTGAAATCTTATTTACAAATCGATTAAACCTGTTCTTTAGTCTTTTTTCAGTTTTTCTCATCATGAAATTCTCAACCTAAGCGTAATTGACATTTAAGGGTGGATAATTTTTTGTTCTGGGATTCTGTCCTGTGCATTAAAGGCTGCTTAACAGAATTTCTGGCCTCCACCTACTAGATGCCAATAGCGCTGCTCCTACCCTCTTTCCTCCCCAAAACCAAAAATGTCTATAAACATTTCCAAGTATCTCCTGGAGTCGGGGGGTGGGGATCACTGTCAGTTGAGAATCATTGGTTTAATCCATGGAGTGTCATTATTGTACAGACTCTAGAACTAGAGTAGATTCTCTGTTTATATTAATTTATACATTGTAAGACTAAGAGAGGATAATGTCAGAAAAGAACTAAAGAAGTACCACCGGACTTTGTATGAGCAGCAGCAGAGAGGAATACAGATTTAAAAACATGTGTTCATATCACTTTATACCCATTAGGTTGATTAATATCAAAAAAAACCAGAAACCACTGGTGACAATGTGGAGAAATTAGAACCCTCCTATACTGTTGGTGGGAATGTAAAGTGGTATAGCCACTATGGAAAACTATATTTCCTAAAAAAATTACCATCAACTTGCCTTCTGGGTATGTACCCAAAAGAATTGAAAGTGAAGTCTCAAACAGATGTTTGTACATGACATATGTTCATAATAATGTTATTCATAGTAGCCAAAAGGTGGAGGCAGCCTAAGTTTCAACTGATGGGTGAATGGATAAAATGTCACATATGCATATAATTCAGCTGGAAGGGGAGTTGCTAATGAGCATACAGTTTGTTTTGCAAGATGAAAAGAATACTGGTGATTAGTTGAGCAACAATGTGAATGTACTTAAACAGTATGGAACTGTACATTTAAACATGGTTAAGATGATAAATTTTATGTTATGCATATTTTACCATAATTAAAAATAAAAATTAAAAAATATCCCCAAATTGAGATTATTTACCTTTTTCTCTCTTTCTAGAAAATTTTTTTCAAGATTTTATTTATTTATTTTAGAAATTGAGAGAGGAAGCATGGTGGGTGAGGGACAGAGGGAAAAGAGAATATTAAGCAGATTCCACACTGAATGCAGAGCCTGAGGCAGGGCTCTAACCCAGGATCCTGAGATCATGACCTGACCTGAAACCAAGAGTTGGTTGCTTAACTGACTGTACTACCCAGGCACACCCTGGTCTTCTAGAAATTTTTGACCCCATTCTTCTCTGTAATCTCATTCTCTTAGCTCTCATTACACACAAAGGAGGAAATAAAGTACCCTAGATAAAGTATAGTGTGATTTTTAACCACAAGCCTGTTAATAATAATTGAGAACACTAATAGTTTCTAGTAGAAACACCTTTAATATTCTATATGTTGTGAATTTTCTCCTTAGCTTCAGGTTCTAGAAGAAAAAAATAAGAATTTGCAAGAGACTCTCCTAGATATGGAAAAAAAGCTTGAAGAGATCAAAAAGCAGTGTCAAGAAAAAGAGGCACAGCTAATATGCCAGAAGAAGAAAGAAAAGGAGTTGGTAACTACAGTTCAGAGGTAAGAAAACCTTCAGTAATTTTTTCTGCTTACTTTTGTTATTCCTATTTCTCATAAAGCATTTCATTTAAAATGCATTAATATATAATTATTGCTATGTTGTTATCTTAAAGATATACCCTTAGAACCGTATTATTTCATTGAAACAGATTGTATCAGCTGTGATTTCATATGTTAATGCAACATCTTGACATGTTGCCAAAGGTTTTAGATGAGAATAGTTAAAATCTACCCCCACCAAAAAAAGAAAAAACAAAAACACACACAAAAAAACCCCAAAACAATCCACCAATTGAAAACTGAAAGTATTATCACAGTCCGATGGCTTTGCTTTGCCAAAAATAATGACAAATTCTAGATAACAAAAAGGGGCAAATACTCAAACTGAACTCTCTAATGTGATAGATTAAAGGGACATAACTGGCTCCCATTTTACATGACTACAGAGCAACAGGTATGGCCATTTTGCCAAGTACCTTCAGGTTTACTCATGTAACTTGCCTCATGGTCCTCTTCCCTTTTAAATTAATGCAGTTAGAATGACAGGGAATATCACTTGTTAGTGTGTTTAGCTAATGTATTTAAGCTGGAAAATTAATACTGGATATTTGAAAAACCTAGAGAACTATGTTATATATGCATCTTTCATGTACTTTCTGTTTTATAAAACTTAAGCCTTAATAGATGATCAACTATTAATAGGTAAAACTATCGAGAAGAATAAGACAGTATAGCAACAAAACTAAGAAATACACTCATCATGCTTTTACCAGTTGTGTGTAACTCCAGTCAAAATCCATTTATAATTCCATGTTAATATTGCTTTACTACTTTGAAAGTCTTAGATATGCCTGACCTACTTTTTCCCATAGATTTCAGTACAGAAAATCTCTGATTCTGGGACAGTTTAGTCTTCAGTGTTTCTAATCTCAGCTGCAAAAAATTCATATACTTTTAATTTTACTTTTATTTTCACATTATTTTCTGTTTTCTTGTTCTTTAGTTTTCCTCTCCATAACTCTGCATCTTCTATTGTCTAGTCTCAAAAGAGCTTCCTCACCTTCATTCACTCAACCATATATTCTTTTTCTTTGATCTTAGATGAAATGAGAAGAGGTAATGTATCTGTTCTGTTTTATGGGGCATTTTGATCACCAACTCAGGCTGTGCCATTTTACGAATAGAATTGCAAACACCTGAAAATAATTTGATTGTTTGTTTTGCTCCATTGTGTGCTTTTATGTTTAATATGATATTATACCTTCTCTTATATTTAGATTTTCTCTTTTATTGAGTTTTTAGAGAACATTGAGTCTAGTGCTGTTGATTAGATATAATTAGTACAGTGCATTTCAGAATCCGTGTTCCATTTCTTTATCTCAACACTCTCTAAAATGATAGCATCCCGGAAAATTTCTCTTGATTTCAAATAGACATAAAGGACCAAAGGAGGTCTTCTGTAATTCTTACTACTTGTAAGGCTCTGGTGTCGTCTGACCCTGGATACTGGGGTGTTCATTTTCCTCAGCTACATGAGAAAGAATTCCTTGGGTCCAGAATAACTTCAGTTATGTATGTGACTGTAAATTACATCATTACGTTTATCTGTGCCTATGTAATATTTCTAAGTTAATTACTTTATGAATATATAAGCACTTCTGGTATTTAAAAATCAGATTAAAGTTTTCCATTAGAAATGAAAATGGAGGGCGCCTGGCTGTCTAAGTGGGTTATAGCCTCTGCCTTTGGCTCAGGTCGTGCTCTTAGGGTCCTGGAATCGAGCCCCACAATGGGCTCTCTGCTCAGCGGGGAGCATGCTTCCCCACTCCCGCCTGCCTCTCTCCCTACTTGTGATCTTTCTCTGTCAAATAAATAAATAAAAGTCTTTAAAAAAAAATGAAAATGGAGGTAAAATATGTGGATGGGGTCCCTAGTAATGCAATAGTGGGTACTTTCACTATTCAAGAGATTAATTTTCTAAGTATGCTTCAAAACATAAATGAAAATGTGTATGTGAAAGATTTGTTTGGTATTCCTTTCATGACAGTACATTGTTCCCTTCTCATAGCTGGTTCATTTTTTTTAAGACCTTAATAGTTTTAATGTAATTTATTTCTCTTAGAATGTTATAAATATATAGAAGTAGTGTGCAGTGTCTTGACACTGAATTGAGAGAAAAAAATGTATTCTCAAATAGAAATAATGTATTTTTCACTTTTAGACTGAAAAAGCAAAAACTTTTATGACAAGGAAAAACAAATTACAAAGCAGTACACTGCATTCATAATACATAAAAAACCTTCTCCGGTGCCGTTACTTATTAACATATTGGAAGCCCTTATTGTAACCATTTAAGACTGTCAGTTCTTTATCCAGAATCTAGATACAGCATTTCTTTTTTTTTTTTTTTAAGATTTTATTTATTTAATAGATAGAGATCACAAGTAGGCAGAGAGGCAGGCAGGGGGGTGGGGGAGCAGGCTCCCTGCTGAGCAGAGAGCCTGATGGTGGGACTTGATCCCAGGACCCTGAGATCATGACCTGAGCTGAAGGCAGAGGCTTAACCCACTGAGCCACCCAGGCGCTCCAAGATACAGTATTTCTGGGGCGCCTGGGTGGCTCAGTGGGTTAAAGCCTCTGCCTTCAGCTCAGGTCATGATCTCAGGGTCCTGGGATCAAGTCCCACCATCAGGCTCTCTGCTCAGCAGAGGGTCAGGTCATGGGTCCTGGGATCGAGCCCCGCATCGGGCTCTCTGCTCAGCAGAGAGCCTGCTTCCCTCTCTCTCTCTCTCTCTCTGACTGCCTCTCTGCCTACTTGTGTGATCTCTGTCTGTCAAATAAATAAATAAAAAATCTTAAAAAAAAAAAAAGATACAGTATTTCTTTAACTTCTTTTTTTCTTTTTTTTGGAAGAGAGAGAGAGCGCAGGAAAGCCATAATACTTGAAAGAAGAAAAATAATGAAAATAACAAAACTCCCAACTATAAAAGTCTGTTTTAGTATTCAGCTTCTGAATATGATTATAAGCTTCCTAGGTATCTTTCTGTTTTGATTTTGGTCATTATTGTTAATGGGATCGTTCCTTTTAACCAAAACATGACCATCCTTTCTTTCTCAAGACTAACACCTTTTAGGGCATGGTCCTGGGATGGAGCCCCTCATCGGGCTCCCTGCTCCGTGGGAAACCTGCTTCTCCCTCTCCCAGTCCCCCTACTTCTGTTCCCTCTCTAGCTGTGTCTCTGTCAAATAAATAAATAAAATCTCTTAAAAAAGACTAACACCTTTTAATCTTTTATTCTTAGTATATCAGAAGGGCTTCCTTTTGTTGTTTCCTCTTTTGCATTGCAGTCCTGTGCCATGAATAGCATGAGAATCTATTAGGTCAAGTAGTAAATAAATTGTTGCTCTTACTAATGAAGGAGAAATGTAATTCTACTGGTTTTAGCAACAGCTTCCTTATAAACAAACTTCTGCTGCACTCAGAATGAAGCTAAAAGATGTGTATTCTTATTCTTAGGTTCCCTAACACAACCCTCTTAATCAAGGAACTCTGCTTCGCGGGGAGAAGGAAAGAACAGGATTTAGATTGCCGAGCTCACATTAGGTTCATGGGGAACTTCATTAGGGTCTAAGAATGTCACACACTAAGTAACTTTTGATTCTGTCCTCAAATCTGCCATTTCTGAAAAGATGATCAGCTTCCATTATATTTCTTACTTGTATGAAATATAGGTACTCAAGTGTATACATGTATAGGCTGTAGGTCTCAATTATTGCTTGATTAAAAAGTACTACCGACCCTAAGAAAGGTACTTCGTTTATGTTGAAGTCATCTACCAAAACCAGCAACAGAGTGGATTTTCTTTATCTAATTGTCTTTCTAAAATACACAGCTTGCAGCAAAAAGTAGAAAGATGCCTTGAAGATGGAATTCGCCTTCCCATGTTAGATGCAAAACAGCTTCAGAATGAAAATGATAACCTGAGAGAACAAAATGAGAACGCTAGTAAGGTCAGTTCATGTCTTTGATAATAAATGTGAAATCTGTATTATGTTGGATATGTGTGTATAGATATATGTTATAGCTATTATATTTTATATTTTTGTTAATAATAGCTTAGTTTGAACTTTTTATATGGAAATAAAGTGACAGTTTAAGTAAATTTAAATAAATTTTCGTAAAAGCCATGCTAAGGAAATTACATTACGTCTTAACAAAAGAATATCTTTTCCTTCCTAAATTACTCAGTGTCTGTTTCAAAGTTATTTTTATAAATTGCATAGAGTTTTATCAAGAACCAAAGGAAGACTTTGCAGTTTTATGTGTGATCCAAATCATATGTCTATTTAAAGAGTACTTGGTATGAATACTTTTATTAAAAAAAAACCCTGATTTTTAAAAGATAAATTCATTATTTCTCTGCTTTTGTTTTCTTTTTCTTTTTAATCATTTTTTTAATTTATTTTCAGCATAACAGTATTCATTGTTTTTGTACCACACCCAGTGCTCCATGCAATCCGT